GGCAAAAAAAAGAGCGAAAAAGCAATGAAATAGAAAAAAAGGGGTTGGAGGAGGGGCTGGGAGGATACGTAGAGCATAACCGCGTCCATTCTTCTACCTCGCTTCAACTTCGGAGTTCTGCACAGCAAAAAGGGAAGCGGGGTAAAAAGAACGAAAAAGCAATGAAATGAAGAAAGAAAAGGGATTGGGAGAGGAGCAGGGAGGATACATGAAGTTGAAAATTATTCCAATTAGTTACAAGTGCTGACAAGTCATCTGCACAATTTTATATCCCATGTGATCTTTCAAAAATCTCGCCACCCCCTCCCGGTACGCTATTGGTCCATATTGAAAAATTTATATTTTTTTAAGCACTCATAAAAAGCACAAGGCCTACTCTATATGGCATGCATCAAATCAAAAGATTTCTATAAAGTTTAGAGTTTATGTTCTATAATAAGAATTTTGGAAGACTTATGTATCAACCTAAAATAAAACTTGTTAGTACACATTTGTGAATGTTAGTAATAGCCTCCGATGATCGTTGTGGAATGTTATCGCGAACATGTGAGTAAAGGATGTTCGTCGACGACTGCCCCGACTAGTGTAATCACACCATTGCGCGTGTGCGTTTTTGATCCTTTCCAGCTCTACAGTACGCTGCAGCGCGCGGGGAACTTGCAGCTAGCAGCATTCCTGTCCTATAACCCTCTTTGTTATCTAAGCGTTTCTTATTTCTTTTTCTTCATGAAATTTGTTTCAGGCACCTATTCTTCTATTATTTCAGGCTTGTTCGACCTTTGAATATATCCTACAAGTTCTAGTGTATGTGTCCGTGGCAGCTATCCATGGGTGTCTCCGCTACACACGCAAAGTCGCTCGGATTGCCCTCGCAAGCTCGAACATGATCAACGAGATTTTTCTACATTCATTTTGCTATTTTTATCCTTTTCTCATAGGATACGTCCTCTTAATATAACCAGTGCTAACTTACCGGTTTGGTTCTATGTTGTTGTGCTGTTTGTTGAATACTTTGAGTCTGGTCAAGTGAATGTGAGCCCGACTTTGTGGAATACTCTTAGATCAAG